GCTGTCTTTTAGCTATCTCCATGCAAGTTTTGACGACATGCCAACAAAATTAACTTGCTCTAAATATCAAAAAACATGGTTTTTTGGCCTATTTTTGGCCCAAAAATCGGTTTTTTGCGATTTTAACCAAGAAAAATCAGTCCAATCATCTTGAAACTACTTTTAATCGATTCTACGGTCAAAAATACGTCTAGTAAGGTGTATCTGGGGTCCCTAGCGTATCAAGCAGACAATGCCCGTAAGAGCCTCTACTATTTTGCCGATTTTCATGTGTGATGTGTGATGTGGTTGCAAGAAAAATTATAGTAGCAATGAGCATGTATGATGTAATGAAACATTAATTTCATTATTTGTGTATTGAACTGTATTGATCTATCGAATAACCTTTTATTATTTCCAACTGACGGGTTCAAAGTTTACTGATTTTACACTTACACAGTTTTGGAGGGCTTCGACGCGCCGCGCGTTCACCTAACCATGTGCTTTCGCGCCACTCGTAAAATATCTGTTCCATATATTGGACAGTCGACGAGTCCAACTCAGCGCGCGTCCTGGTAGGTTGTAAACCTACAAAGTGTTCATGTTTACTGTGTACATGTAAGCGTGTTTTAAGTGTGAAGCAAAATAGTGGGAATAGCATTGACCAAATACAAATGATGAATTAGGAGTGAGAAACGTGGGTGGCAAATATGGTTAGTTTGTGGATCATGTGGAGCTGAGTAGTGTGCTCGGTAAAGTATTGTTATAGCAAAAGTGTGCTAGTGTGAATGGTGTTCACATAGCCATGTGTCTACGCGTACTGCGTGACGCGCTTGTTTCTTTTGCCGCCTACGGCGGTCGCGCGCTACTGCAAGCGAGAGGGCTCTGGTTAGAGCAATGAATGGTGGCCCCTGCCCCTGTTATGTACAGGAAAAGTATACAAACCTATTTGATACTTGTTACGTATCACAAATATCGCGAAAAGTGGCATGCAACGTATGTCAAAAACCTATAAATAAATATCGCTACATGTCGACGATTTTGTAATTTTATTAGTTCCAGAAACAACTATAAAATCAATTTCGAAAGAAATTTTATGAAGACCCCCGGCCTCCTTGAAGGCATTATACAGGAGGGGCAAAACTACTGGTTTGAGGATTCTGTAGTAAAAATTAAATATTCGGATATTTAAGACCACTCCCAATTTATATTATTATATTATTATATATATATTGGAGTCTTCATGAGCTCAGTAATGTCAGCCCATGTATTCTTTACTCATACTTCTACTACAATCTTATACTTGAGTACATTTTTATACTTGAGTACAAGTCAATTTGACTTTTGGGAAAAAAAACTTAATGAAATCGGGCCACTGTTTGGCTATTATCCCAAGCCAGCCAAAACATGGCTCATTGTTAAACCACATTGTAAAGAAAAAGCAGAAAAAATGTTTCCAGATTTACAAATATCAGAGGTTGGACACAGATATCTTGGATCATTCATTGGAACTGAGGAGGGGACAAAAACGTTTTTAGATAGTAAAGTTGATGAATGGATTAACGATATCGAAGATCTGGCAGATATTGCCAAGAGGGAACCTCAGGCAGCTTATTCTGCGTTCAACTATGGGCTATCTAAAAGATGGAATTATGTATGTCGAACAACACCTGGTATCAGTCAACACCTCAGGAGACTAGAATACAAAATTCAAGAATCCTTTATACCAGCAATATTGGACAGGTCGTTTGGAACCGACCAAACCAGTAGAAAACTCTTTGCATTACCAGTCAAAGAAGGGGGTCTTGGTATATACGATCTGAGTTTGATGTCTGACCTAGAGTACGAGTATTCCTGCAAAGTAACATTAGATCTTACAGAAGCAATATACAACCAGCAACAAGATTTTTTTGATGATCAGGAAAAACTAGTAGAGATCAAGACTGAAATCCGAAAATCAAGGGAAGAGTTTTTCAAGGAGAGAAAAGAAGAGGTTACAAATGACCTGAATGAAGCCCAAAAATTGCAATGAGATCTTACATCAGAGAAAGGGGCAAGTTCCTGGCTTTCGTCACTCCCGCTCAAATCATTCGGATATTGTCTCAACAAGCAAGAATTCAATGATGCCCTAGCCCTAAGGTACAACTTTTGGATAAAAGATGCTGCAAGAAAATGTGTATGTGGAAGTGACAACTCAATAAACCACTAATTAATATGCAAAAGGGGTGGATATGTATCTCTTCGCCACAACTCATTGAGGGATGTGATAGCAGAGCTATTAGAAACTGCTGGCTGTAAAGATGTTACCACTGAACCTCTCCTCATTCCTGTCAACGGGAGAGAACTTTCTGCAGGGGCCAACAAAGCAGATGGAGCTAGATTAGATGTTAGTGCTAGGAGTGTATGGAACCCATTGGAAGGGGCATTTTTAGATGTAAGAGTATTTCATGCTCAAGCTCCTTCCAATAAGGCTCTTGGATCTCCAACCACTATGTACAATAGCCACGAGAGACAGAAAAAGAATTTATACAATAAAAGGATTGTAGAAGTGGAACATGGGACGTTTACACCGATAGTCCTATCAACCACTGGGGGTATGGGAAGGGAAGCTAATAAGTTCTTCAAGAAATTAGCGGATAAACTTTCTAGGAAATCAGGCCAACGATATAGTGAGGCAATGACATTTATTAGGAAGAGAGTAAGAGTTGACCTTTTGAGAACAACAGTCATAGCTCTTAGAGGAGAGAGAGGGTTAAAAAGTAGTAGTGCAGTAAAAATAGCAGAATTAGATATAAATTTGGAGCCAGTTCTTTAAACTGGCTTACTTATACTACTTAAAGGGTGTTTATTTAGTTTTCTATTGAATTTATATTGAATTTCTATGTAGGGTAATTGTTATATTATGCGTATATTGTTTGAATAATCTTACTTCTTATTATAACTTTTGGGACATATAATTTTACTAAGGATCACGTTTCGGTTCTAAATTATTTTAAGATTGTTGACATTTGTAAGATTGACATGTTTGATAATAATAATCTACTACAATCATATTATTCAGACTAATTTCGTGTCATCCAACCCACCATTATATAAGTACCCAGGTTAGAATTATAAAGTAAAGTTAAGTAAAGTAAAATTTATGACATCACTTCATCACACATGTCTACAGTAAAACAAAGTATTTAGTAAAACAAAGTATTTTATTTATTAGCAGTGCAATCAATTCATATGATATAATTATAAGAATATAATAGTATGTCACACCTATTTAACTGTTACGTTCGAGTAGTCGTGCCATGGCTAAATTTAACTAGGACCAGTGGTGTCGATTAACATTTTAAAAGGTGATTCTAAGTGACACAAATGGAAAATTTTAAGAAAAGACGGATCAAAACACAGATCCAAGGACAAGGAGACCCCACTGCAGGACCATACATGCTATTGGCTTGTGCATGGCCCAAAAGGTTCCAGTTGTCCAGGAAACTGTACGTAGCTGGTCAACTAGTTTTGAATTCAGACTAGGCTTGATGAGTTCTGGGGTTTCTAGAGTAAGATTTGATGGTGCCAGGTTTGTTCAGGCGGACATGGAAATTATGCGAGGAATATATAGGTATATAAAAATCATATCAATATAAAAATAGATCCAAAAATAGATCCAAAGATTCACACGGCAGTCAGGGAACTTCCAGACAGGATGCTTTTGAAACAGGTATAATTAGCGCTTTTGTAATTAGTTGTATGCAAGGGATGGGATGCTGATTGACTAAGCTGGTTCAATGCCCCAGCTATTTAGGGGGAGCCACTCAATTTCACGCCCATGTGTTGTCAATTGCTGGGTTTCAAGTAAGAGCTTTTTGATACGGCTCTTGATAATTGAGATGGGGGAGGAAAGGTCGGAAAATTTACTAGAGCCAGGGACCATGACATTGTTTTCATTAGGAGTGCATTTGTCGAATATTTTATCAACCAAACTGTTCCATATAGTCGTACCTTTGAAGACAAAATTGTGTTTAGAAATTTCAAGTTTGTGTCGGGGGACCCGCATAGTTTGGCTACATGCTCTGGAACTTGTTTGGAATAAACTTGTCAGAGAGATAGGTTGATGCAGTTTCAAGATTTTAAACAGTTCAGTGGATATATGTTGGGTGTACAGGTTGTGGATTGACATGATTTTCATATACATAATATCAGTGGCGTAATGAAAGGCCCTGCTGACCCCGCTGTGCAGGGGGGCGCCGTCGTAGGGGGGCGCCAAATCGTCATTTGAATGTGGGACAATTTCGAAAACTTAACTAAAGTACTAGCAAAACTGCGCGTTTTGCTCTAGATACACATTGTTTTAGAGTTTTTACCGGCGTATTCTTTAAAATCACCTAATTTGTTCAATTTTAGGGAGGGGCACCAAAAGGGGAGGGGGCGCCAACAGGGGGGCGCTTTTTTCGGCAGGGGGCGCCAACAGGCAACGTTACGCCACTGCATAATATCATCGCACTATGTAATATCATGAACACATCTATTCAAAATATCCCTTTTTAAATGTTGCATTGACTCTTTTGAGTACATATTCTTGTTTGAAATCATCATGAAATAATAGGTTTTAGAACTTTCATTTAATTAATTTTTTAATTTGTAAAGTTCGTAGATTCCTCTACAGGGTCATCGAATAGTTCGACCGCCCTTGTTTTACAGTACACTACATTGTAGATGTTCTGAAGGAGTATCCTAAGATTCTTGATCTTTTGGCACAGGCACCCCTCCTCATTTAACCCTCAATCAAGTTTCCTATCATTCGGCTGAGTCGACTGAGGAGATCGCATAGATCCAATGAATCCTTAGCTACTCCCTAGACTGAGTGACACTGGGATTAGAACCCTGAACCTTCTTTACAGAAGGCGGAAGCTCTAACCACTAGGCCACCCAGCCAATTTAATAATAACATTTAAGGTTTACTCATACCTGATTCTCAGACAACAGACTGCATCAACAGAATGGTATATTTGCTGCTCTATTTGTCACTTATGGTTGGATTTACTGCTATCTCTGCCAAGGACAAGTTTGATTATTGTCTACCTTCTAACAGTAGCTGCTGGCCTTCTCAAGCTCAGTGGAGCGAACTGAAATCCAAAATATCTGGTGGGAAACTTCATGACATCAGTGATAACAGTGAATACAACAAGATATGTGATGCCTCAAGTGTGGACCCTAGCGCTGCCTATACCCTAGAGGATAAAGGTGAAGGAAGATGCATGCAGTATCATGATTGCTCTAAGGAAAAATGTGACGATAAAGCTGGCTGGAACATTCCAGAGTATTCTGTCGAAGCGTCAGAAGAAACTGACATAATAGAAGCTATTAAGTTTGCCAACGAGTACAACATTCAAGTAGTGGTAAAAACAACTGGTCACAACTATGCAGGGGCAAGTATGGGAGATGGAGCACTCCTCGTATGGATGAGACACTTTAAAAAGTATGGGGACATCATAAAGGCTTATGAAAAATGCAGTGAAACATATGATGCAGTTTTAAAAGTTGGTGGAGGGCAAATCTGGGAGGAGGCTTATAAAGCTGTTGGCAATGATTATCATATGGTTGGAGGAGGTGGACTCACTGTATCTGCTGCTGGAGGTTGGTTGAATGGCGGGGGCCTTTCCGCATCTGCCAGACTTTATGGAATGGGTATTGACCAGGTTGTTGAATTTGAAGTTATTACTGCTGATGGATCAAAAGTGACGGCAAGTAAGTGTGAGAATGATGATCTTTTTTGGGCTTTGAGGGGTGGAGGGGGTGGATCATTTGGAGTAACCACAAGTGTCCATTACAAATTACATGCTACCAAACCTTTCTGTGAGATAATCTTTACTATTACTGATTTTTATGAGCCAACATGGGATACTAAAACTCTTGTAAAATGGATAGGAGTTCTCGTAGATTCTGCCCCTACATTCGATCAGAAATGGGGTGGTTACTGGACGTTGAATAGTGGAATATTCTACTACCAAGGCACTGATGAAGAATTGAAAAAGGATGAGTTCTTAATAAAGATTGCTTCACTGGGTTACATTAAATGGGACCGTTGGAATTGTGCTGAATCATACTTTGCTGCTAGAGGTGGCCCAGAGAACATGTCCACTGATCAAACTAGTCAGAAAGAGTTTAACATCGCTAGTCGCCTTGTTCCCATGAGTTTTGTGGAAAATAATCCTGAAAAGATGAAAGAGATTCTCGTATGGATGATCTCCAATGGTTTTTACACTTTCAATTACATAATTGGTGGAAAAATGATGGATGTAGCAGCTGATGCAACAGCTGTTCATCCCGCTATGAGAGAGTCTGTATTTCAAATAGAGACATTCGACGAAAGGCTCATACAGAAATTACGAGATGAATTACCAGACTCTGGAGCAGGATTCAACCATGCAGCCAAGAACGAACCTGATTGGGAAAACCAGTTTTGGGGGAGGAACAGGGAGAGACTGGAGACATTGAAGGAGAAGTGGGATCCTGAAAATCGGTTCAACTGCTGGCACTGTGTGGGTTACCTGGCTAAGTCTGATGCAGGAAGTGTGTCATTCTCCCTCATCTTCTACCTTACAACCTTGGTTATCCTGCTGTGCTCACATTAGAGCAGCTACTCTTCCTGACTCAACTATTGAAAATGAACTGGACTGTGTTAGCAGAGTTACTTGGGACAATACTAGAGGATGGTATTAGTGTTATATTTAACTTCGTTTGACATTTATATTATTTTCGCTATATTAGCGTTTGCTGAACTAGTTTCGTGTTTTAGAGGAACTTTTGACATTTTTCATCGAGTTCTAAACTAATATTCCAGTATCATGTTGAATACCTATAATACATTATATAATATACATTAAGTACTTTGTAGTTGCACGTTGTTGTTAAACTAGATTTTGTTTTGAACTGAGTATTATTTTTGTTCAGTTTTTCACGTTATAGATGAAATTCTACTTCTACTTGTCAAACCTTTTATAATTCTAAACTACGTTGTATAGCTTAATAATTAATTATCCAGTTTTGAGTTTTTAATAATGTTTCACCAATTTAGATATTTCGAGATTTAGTGCTAGTTATTATGGTTTAGATTTTCTTCATTAAACAAGCAACTTATAATTTACTTATTGTGTTTAATTGCATACTTGAAAAAATAACTTCTTTTATTTCAATATAATCTGATCCAAAATGTTATCAAATTATTTCTTTACCGTTAGCGAACGTACTCAATTACAGTTTTTAATTATCAAATCAAAACCAAATAGCTGTCATTGTCAGGAATGTCGTTTCAAGACCTGAGTATAAGCGGGTCTCCTACTCCAAGAGCGGAGTCTCGGGGAGCTGTTAGTGCCCGACATCAGAAGGTCAAACAGAGAACTCACTCTGGGAAAAGCATGGGGGTACGTTAAGATTACATAATTTACATTCCCCATCATAAAGTGATTATAGTAAAAAACACATTTTGATATTTTAATGTTGAACGGTTAAGTTGATACACACCTACAAGTTCAATAGGTGTGATTCACGACTAATTAAATCTGACAACTCCAGTACATGAAATTAATTTTCGGCCGTCTGCATTTCACGCTCCCACATTTTTGTAATAACTAATGTAATAATCAAATGAATAATAAATGATTTGTTATTTGTTCCAGGGAGGCGCAGTAGTGACACGAGACCAGCTAAACCTAGCAAAGAAGCTGGCGTACTACGAAACTGAGGTGGATAAAGCAAAGCAGGAGCTTAATGCTTATAACTCAAAGAAGGATAACACAGTAAGTGTGCAGTGGGTACTCGCTATTGTACAGCGACCTTTTCCATTCCTCACCTTTAAATTAACTCATTTCAAAATCTTAAATTAGTCTACTTCATGGGTTGTACAAGGAGAAAAGTATGGACTATGGCTGTATTATTTTACACCTACAAGACTCCTTACTCCTAAACAAACTTGTATCTGATTCAGTAGAAAATTACATTTTCTCTAATAACGATCATCTCCACTGGCTCCCCCATTTCAGCAAACTAAAGCTCCAGTCCAGCGAGAAGCTATCAACAAAAGTCGCTCTCAACCTCCTCCTATCAAAACACAAGTACCGCCCCTGAAGCTGAGCATGCTGAAACAGAAGAGTGACAGTTCACAATACCATGTAACACGTGGTGTGGATACTTCCCGGTCAGTATTGAGTTGGGGTGACCCCTCCTACAGGGATACTAGACCTCATGGGGTTGGGAAGATTAACACCGGGGGAGATAAGAGGAAGGGAGTTGATAAGGAGAACCGTAGAAAAGAGGAGCAGAGGGAGGAACGGAGGAAGGAGGAACAGAGGGAGAAGGAGAACAGGGACATCGAACATAGAGTAGGTATGAGTGTGTATCGAGCATCATTTTTCGTAATACAGTAACATTATTAGCGATACAAATCATAACAAGATATATAATGTACATATATATATAATATAAGCGTCAGGTGTATGATTGCATAGGAACATAATATAATGGCAAGATTTTAAAGTGCTTTCACCGATTACACTTAATAGCAAGATAGCAGTCACTTCAAGAACTAAAAATAGAAACCATCTCAAAACTTCAATTTAGTCCAGTAAAATCCAATGGTCATGGCCTATGTAATGTCATAATATTTAACACACAGATTAAAATCATTTTGAGAATTTTTCCTGATCCATGACTCAAAGTGCCGAAGGCACAAAAGAGCCTGTGTATATTTTGCGAGATATTCTGAATTAAATAATTGTTGTCACGCGGCGCTGAACTGACCAAGTAAATTGTTCATTTCACCATGATATGTACGTATCCCATTAGGCACTAATTGATAGCATATTGTTATTATTGTTAGTATTACTATTTTGCACAGATCTGTGTCAGGTTGCATAAACAAAAAAAATTAAACAATAAACATATGGTTACACGATTTTCAAATTCAATATGGAATTAACTCATAACTGGGCAGCGCTCGGCCTGTCACTCCGCTATATCTCCATGCTTATAAACAGCAAAGACTGGGGACCCAGGTTATATTGAATATAATAAAATAAGCCATCATGGATCGGGAAATTGAGCGGCCTTCCACAAAAGAAAAGCGGCTGCATTTCTTGTTTCATATACTTATCGTGAGTCATAGCCAGATTAAGAACTGTATTTAAACTTCTCATTAAAAAAAGATAATGTAGATTGTGAAAGAATATTGTTCTGTTCCAAAAACAATTCACTTCACCTCCTCGTCAGTAGTCAATAGTCATGTAATCACGTGACCTCTTGTTAGGCGGAGACGTCAAGAACAGAGCAGGGGGAGGAGGGAGCAGACCCAGATGGAGACATTGAGAGAGATACCGGACAGGAGCTGGGGTTTGAGGCTTTTGAAACTGAGGTAAAGTTTGTGGGAGAGAGATCCACTGTTGTCATGTATTTCAGTCTTGAGATCGAGCATGATTGATGATAATTGTTCACGTTTAGCTGATCGGTTCAAGCATTTATACAATGTATTATGTAACTGATGAAACAATCACTAGGAAGGAAAGATAAAACGAGCTCGACAAGAAGACGCAGTAGAAACACAGATGGTCCAGGACCTAACACAACCGGAAACAACCGACGAAGAGCCCAACTCGTACACCCTCCGCACCCCCTGGGCCACGTCAGAGCGCGCGGACTTTTACGCGCTGAAAGAAATACCACACGTGAAACGAATTGATAACTCGCTCCATACGACCAGCAAAGAACTTACATTCTCTAATCTGAACAATCGGGGAGTTCAGAAGCGGCTGAAATTCAGATTACGGATAATCAGCAGGTTTGTTAGACTCACATTTTCTGTATTTTTGTAACTGTGTCATTATAGATTGTTTTTAGCTACTAATTGTCGCTGTTAGATCTCCCATATGTCCTTGTTTTTAAGACACTATTTCAGATGCGGTAGAGACAGCTTACGTGATCTACATGGTTTCTACTTTCTATCAGACGACTCAATTGTCGTGTACGAGTACAAAGAAATCGGAAAGAGGGTCACCGCCTCCCCACTATTCCCTCGCACTGTATACCGTCACCCACGTGGACGCTGGATCGGAAACTCTTACTCCCTTCGCGATCTGAAAATAGGGTCCACACTTGATCTGCCGACCAGCAATAACCCAGCACTGCCGGCTAGCATCACACGAGCTCCGTATACTCTGCTTCGTGTTATGGGCGTGGATCAAGAAGACGTCCTCAGTTTGGTGTACGTTTTAAATCTGGTCAACAATTTTTCAACTGTGTTCAATAAAATATGATTATTTTTTATTTAGAGTGCTGACGAGTTAAATATATATATATTTATATAACTTATATATAAGTTAAGTGTTCAGACATGATACCTTATGATATAATTCGTTTCAGTTACGACGGTTGTAGGATTGAAGATCGGGCAGATAGAGCAGAACAGATTAAAGACTTTGTTACTCCGGAACAGATATGGAGAATCAGGAATTTAGAGCATATTCAAGGTTTTTCTTACATGCTATCAATTGGATAATTTACTTGATCAGCTTTGTAAACATTTTGTTATAATATACATGCTTAATTCGGGGGAAGGGGGTTATTTGCCATTTATTTGAAATTTCGGGGTTTTCACCATTCTCCCCATGGCCTAAATGGCTATGGCACCCCCCCCCCCCCCGATTCGGCCTTCACTTGATAAATTAATGCAATATTATGTTACATAAAATATCGAGTATTAGATTAGGTTCTTTGAAAAGGTGTGTGTCACTGTGAGTCACTGTGCCTATATCTGAATTGATAAATTGTACCTCCGTTTTTCTTATTTGCTTCTCAAGTTTCAACCCGTTTTGCTCATTTACGTTTTGCAAATCATGATCATCGATTATAGCTGCGAACCTTGATATCTCGGTCATCTGAGTAAGCTGTAAAATACAAACATGTTTTTATGACCTTTTCTCAATTTTGAATTAGGGCATTTGTTCTGCTGAACATTGAGGACACATCATGGCATGGTAGAAGAAAATATCGTGATACACCTGAGTGACAGTGATCCTCTTCTGGAGAGCAAGCAGATGCTTGTTGAAAACAGCAACGTTTTCTGCTACATTCTACTAGAATGCTACCAGCTAGAACACGACATGACAGACTTTACTCCAGAAATAGTGGAGATGACTTTAACTCTGTTACATGACCAGAAAATAGAGCAGATCGAAGAATCAGAATTTAGAGAAGTGTTTAAAATTTCTGTTGTCTTTGATTTCAACTGGCTTATTGAATCCTGCGAAGTTTGGCTTCTTGAAAAGATCAACACCATGGTAGAGACCATGTATTATGAGTCACTGGTATACCTGTTCAACGAGTGTTATTACATTTACTGTAAATGGAAATTGTCACAGTTTATGGAGGCACTGATCTCAAAAGTTCGTTTCAAAGACATTTCTTGGTTCCTAGCTCGGTACACAAAATAAAACCACCGACAACTGAGCAAAGATCAGCTGAAGTTCTTACTGCATCTGGCAGGTTCGAACTCCAAGGTATTTCTGGAGATGTTAATGTGCCGTATAAACGGTCAGGAATGTCTTGATGATCGTATCAGATATTTGTTAAAACACATGAACTTGTCTGTGTGTGCTGAGAAACACGAAACAGTGTACCATGAAATGTCTGCAAGATTATCAGATTTAAAGGATCTGTCAATGGATGATTTCCGACTGGTACTGAAGCTCATAACAGAAGCTTCAAGAGATGCCAGCGCCCGAAAAAGAAGTACCCCGTCGGCAAATCTTACTGTCATAGTGTCATTCATGAAAGCCAACAGGTGTCACTGGTAGAAAACTGTATTCAAAGTTTGAAAGACATCACACAGTTGATTACTGAGGGGAATGTGAAAAGCATGTACACTGTGATCGAGTATTGTTAGAATCGACCGATGATAACTCTCTCAGTTCAGGAGGTTTAATAGAATTTGTGGAATGTTTAGAAAAATTGTCTCACGGTAAACTACTTTTACAACGGTTGTCTACACACCATATTGACATCTTCATATCTTCTTTGAAGTCATGGGATAACGAGAGAAAAGGACAAGTAAAGAGTTGTAGGAGATTTTCAAGTAGTGTTTCAGAGGTTATTAAAAACGAGATAAAATTAAACTTTAAAGATGGTGCTTATTTGATGGCCAAGATTACGTCCTCTCGCCTTTCAAGTATCGAGAAGGGAAAAGTTCAGTTAATAAAGCTACTAGAAATGATAAGAAGCAGTGAAAAACTTGCATTATGCTACGATAACATTCTTTCAGTGGGAGATAAGATAACGCCAAATAAGTCCTTCAAGTCATATCTGGGAATGAAGGAGAAGGACAGACCTAGATACATGTTCAAAATGAAACATCCATCTGATACTGACTGCGAAAGAGAGGGGGAATGTGGATTTATGATGTTACAAACGTGTGAAGGTGTTTATGAACTATCTAAAGTAGAGGATGACTACATTGGGAGTGGTGTACATCTACATGAGGAGATAAGTACAGATAACATGAGTTGTTACATGGTCCAACCAATGTAAATAAAACCATCCGGACAGTGCACAACATCCCGACATTCAACTGAGTAAATTGTCCCAGTCATGTGGAAGCGGTGTTTGGATAGATTTTTCACAGAGTGTAAAACCCTGCATAGAATACGATATTGGGGACTGTCTTGTGGCCAAATTCTAGGTCCAACAGCCTTCTGATCCTATATTGTGAATTTGACGAAATCAATGGTCAAAAACTCTGTAGTATTGACTCACATTTACTGATTAACTTATTAGCGATTTTACCAAACCCCATAATCATGGGTAGAGTGGACCGCTGTCAGTGTCTCTCTTTCCCAAACAAAAGGAAATGATATTACTTTGATTGACCGTTCTCAAATGCAAAATGATACCGAGAATGAAATCGGTCGCTCGCTTTTCCCATTCATTCACGGCTTACGAATTGTAATAAGTTTCGATTGATTACATCAATCAGATGCTGTAAAAATCTCTTTGGGTTGCGTTCGGGTCGATACCTAGTATTTCGGGGTAAGGGTGGTAGTTATTAGTATTACTTATTGAATTAGCTGAAGTTTATTGAATCTTCATTGCCGAGTACAGCTGCCTTTGGGTAGTTCTTCTTAATCTATTATGTATTACAATTGTAAATGAATGGGAAAAGCGAGCGACCGATTTCATTCTCGGTATCATTTTGCATTTGAGAACGGTCAATCAAAGTAATATCATTTCCTTTTGTTTGGGAAAGAGAGACACTGACAGCGGTCCACTCTACCCATGATTATGGGGTTTGGTAAAATATCATCTCTTTTTGATTATAATGTCAGGGTACTTTATAAAGTCGAAATATAAACTAATATCTTCATTAATAAGGAGGAAGTTTCAACGATTTCGAAATCTATCCTTTAAAAACATTTCCTTGTGTTTAGGGAAGCATATCGGTCGATCACTGACTGAATATGCCACTTAATACTCATTCAAGTTGGCATTAAATTCATATATAATGACATTAAACTGTCGTGGCAAAGCAGAATTTGTTGGAAATCACGAATGAGCAAAATTCTCACCTTTCGCACGTGCAAACTTTGAGCGGACGTTGCGTGCGCATCCAATATTGAATCGCCGTAAATTTTTGCATGTAATTGTTTTATATATAGCTTGATAAGCATGCAAAGTTTCAAAGTATTTTAAGAAGAACTGTAATCACAACGGCACTCTAAAGTTGACAGAAAATGACGAAAACAGCAATTTTCAGTGATTTTAGCGATTTTCTATCAATTTGGGCGTGTCCCAACGTGTGCAACTTTTCGATTTTCAACTTTAAAACTAGCCTATGACACAATTTATACCTATAGGAAGCAGAACTGAGCTCCACAACCCAAGGCATGGCCCAACACCAGAGAATACTAAATCGCAAAATTGACGTTTTTATAAAATAATTCTTCAAAAAAGCACAAACTTCAATGACGAATATCTTTATGAAGGAGCAAGCTAGAAAAACTTTCTGGTAGATTTTCAGAATGCTTGAACAATTATCTAAGATAAAAATTTCCTCAGATTTTGAATAAAATTACTCCTTAATGGTTTAAAATTAATTTTAAAAGTTATTACTTTGTCAAAAATCAAGTTTTAAAAACGGTTAACTTGATGACGTCATCAAGGGGTGTTTATGACGTCATATAATTTTTTTATACAATGTAAACTAAAGTATAAACAATTATTTGCAAGACCTGTGGTCGGAAATGGCTGTATCTTTTATACTTTTGAATCTATGGACAATTAAATACAGGCTACAATTGACTGGCAAAGCGTCTATCCCTGAATATATATATGTGTATATGTATATATGTATCACGACAATCTATCGTAAAACAGGGGTTCTAGAAAACCCACTTCCCGATGCTCCTGAAACCTGAAACTTTTTTTGCAGTCGATTTGGTCAACGTCTAGACGCCCTGAAAAATTTCAGATCTCTAACTCAATTTTAACATGGTTTTTAAGGCACCTGAATATGGCGATTTTGGGTTTTTTACCGAATTTCGTATAACAGTGCTGGCGAGTATTTTATGCAAATTTCTTAAAAATCTCAACATAACTATTTTTATTCCTGTCATCTTTGACATCAAATTAGAATGTTTTGAACTAAAAATAAATCTGCTGAACGACTTCCGATGAGTCTTAATGCCTGAAAAACTCCTGCCGGAGGCGGCGGCCTTCGGCCGCCGCCTCCGGCCGGAGTGCACGCTTCGCGTGCACGCAAGAGGCTTCCGACGAGTACCAAAGGGGTTATAATAGTAAAGGGGGTATAATAGTAAAGGGGGTACAATAGTAAAGGGGGTACATAGTATACCCCCAATAAAGACACCGCTCGTGCTTGCCAGCACTGTGATAACTTTGCCGTAAATAGTATTTACGACATCATATACATTTTTATTCATTCCAAACGTTTCTCGTTCACAAATCTTAGTGTTGAATTTGTGACCTCCTATACTTTTGACTGGTAACGTGTCACGTGATTCAGTAATCAGTCTGTAAACCAGTTATACTAGTTCTTACTGGGTAAATATTTAAAACATACTGTGTTTCCATTGTTGATAGTTTTTTTTGGGGAAAATTGAACCAATGTATAATTATGGTGAGAGGGTATAATTTTCATATTTCAAATATGAATGTTGGAGCATTTCTAAAGAATTCAGCATATAAACGTCAGGTTCACGGACTGTAGTGCGACACGTACTCTAGTGCGACATAGAGTACGTGTCGCACTAGAGTACGATTACCTAAACGTCATCTCACTATCAGGTCAGATAAGGACACAACTACGTTCACGCCCTCTGAGATCGCTGGTAGGGCTAGGTCACTACTTTATCCTTCACGATAAAGATAAGGATGGATTCTGGAGGGCCGACGAACTTCAGGCAGTCCTCAGAACTTTCAGAATAAAACTATCGCATCAGGTCTGTTGTTAGTTTACAGTTGTTTTCGTGATCTACGGTATTTTATTGTGTTCGAATTCACGAAGAAAATAATGGTAATTTTAAATAACAACTCTGCCTCACCTGTACACATAAATTAAAAGGAGGTGTCAGCTCAGTGAGTTGAAATGTATACACATTTAAAGATAACAATACCTCCTATACTACAATGTTTATTTTATTCGTGAGCCACATTTTGAAAATGTTTCCGTGTTAAAACATTCTGGCGTTAACTTGAGAATCTGATGCATGCTATTTTAAAAATCTGATCAAATGCTATTGTCTAATTTCCTCCAAAAAGCACTGCAACAAAAATATTAAAACTCATGCTCCGTGTAAACTTTAATTAACCGTTCTTCCTCCTGCTCAGGATTTCGTTGTGTTTTGGGATATTCTAGATGAAGACGGAAGTGGATTGCTTGACGTAGGAGAGTTTCTGCGGGGCTTGCTGGGTGAAATGAGTGAAGCAAGGGTAGGGATAGTGTATAGAGCCTGGATAAAGATGGACCCCGGGAGAGTTGGGGAGGTGGCGTATAAAACTGTCGGCCAGTTTTACAATCCTGCTGTCAGTCTTAATCCTGACTCCGGTTAGTCGGAAATTGAAGTGATGTTAAATATTGGTCTTCGCCAATGGCTCTCAAATATTTAGAGTAGCAATTCAAACATGATATAATTTCGCTTGCCTCAAATCTGAAGCTCATCTGTATCATCAATTGTATTAAGCAAGCTTATCCTGCTATGACCCAGGGACGTAGCCAGGACTTTTCTTTGAGGGGGGCTGTCGGCGAGCGAAGCGAGCCGACGCGTCCAATCAAGCTGCGCAGCGAGCAAAGCAAGCAAGCTGTGGCAGGGGTCTGAGGGCGCAGCCCCCAGCGGGGTCCAGGGGCGGAGCCCCTTGGCGGGGGCTAGGGGGGCGCAGCCCCCCGGAAATTTTTTGCGAAACAGGGTGTTTTAGACGACATTTGGCATTAAAGAAATTTGTAGGACAGCAATAAACTGGGATTGAAAAGAATCAAGTACTCACGTAAATTTGGTAACTTCACAACAGCAATCTGCATTCTCCAATCAGAATTTACGACTTACTCAGGCCTCATCGTCTTAAGATTTTTACATTTCCTACGGTCTAGGGGACACTATTGACTATAATTATAGAAGTCTTCTAGAATGTTTGCTTGGATTTAATGACATATATTTACTAATCCACAGTTCAAATCTTTGACTGACTGCAGTCATAAACACAGCCCAGTTACCAGGCGACCATGGGGACTAGGGGGCTTATCTTTTTTCTGGGGTTCGATTTTTTCCGGGGGGGCTGCCGCCCCCCTAGCCCCCCCCCCCTGGCTACGTGCCTGCTATGACCTATGTGTTTTCGACCAATATATCTATAAGTATAATCCCCGCGCGTCGTAACAAAGTTCCTTCTTTCGTGTAGATAATTGTTAAAATTGTAAAAAAAGCACGTTTGTCAACCCGTAGTGCAGCATTTCAATATATAGCGCGCGCTGGCATTGGTATGTCGGTCGCGCGCATCAATAACAAACGGTCACATTCGGTTAACAAATTACGTAATTACAAGAAATGATCTCACTATCTCAGCGATCCAATTCTTACAAAAATTCTTAAAATAATAGATACTGATACATTTATTCATCATCACATTCTTTGTTGACTAAAATTGGGAGCCCAGGCTACGGTCCTGTACTGACACAAAACAAACTGAAATTATAAAGATTATGGTGCTCTTAAATCTGAATCCTGTTATTCTTATATCCCGTTCAAGAAGGTCACATTTACCTGTGACAATAAAGCAGATAATGTCCAGTTATTGAGTCCCTGGGAAAGAATCAAATTGAGTTTATGATTCATTTTCAGGGATCCAATCACCAATGGTTGATTCCTCTTCCCATCCACAAAAGTTGCTAAAGTTGTCAATAAGTCCTAATTTAGTAACTTCTCAGACGGCACCTCTACTAAAGAGCAGTTAGTTGAGGAGTTCCTGGAGTGTTTCAGTGCCGGGCCTCTCAATCAGAAGATAACATACAGTGTAAGTATATTCTTATACTCACAATCACTAATCAGGGTCAAATATCTATAACCTTGCTTATTTGCAAGAGAAAAAGCCTGATCTATATATTTTACACGATAGCTCTCGAAATTTCGTCAATATTTGAATATTTTGTAAAATTTTTGATATCTGGACTAGTTTTGACACAATTGTAATCGATTTACAAAAAAAAAGAGCTAAATATAGCCGATTGCTTCTTCATGAATTAATCTACAGATGTTTGAAACCGTGCTAATGTATCGTGAACACTCTGTATTTGAAAACATTATACCCCTTGAAACATGAACTAGTATTTATAATTTGTTTCATTGTAATCTTTATTCAATTGACTAGTAACTAGTAACTAGTCGATTACCATGCGTCTAAAAACTAGTTCGGCTTTTGTTTGGTACCGGTTTGAGGGCATACCGCAGAATTATTGAAAATGGTACTCTGACGAATGGCAACCTGAACTACAGCGTAACTCTAGCCTCATTATATGTGATGACAGACTTGTTGCTTTTTGGTATAGTTTTTGCCTACTATTCACATAAGTCAATTTATCCATTGATCAAAATCAAAAACATAAGGCGACTTGCAAAAAGGTTAAATGCGTTTTGTTGATAGACTCTATCAACGTTAAAGCAGCATATCATTAACATATCCCTTTTTCCTCCGCCGAAAAACATACCTATTTTGCCACTATACTCAGCACTTTACTGATAATTTATGTTTATTGCAGGAGTTTGTGGATTACTACACAGCACTGAGTCTGTCAGAAGAGGAGGACGAAGTTTTTGTTACCTTCATGAAACATTGCTGGAATGTGTAATTAATCAGACTAGAATTACGAAGACTATTGTAGTTTGCTAATTGTTAGGCAACATAGAAAACTGTGGGAGTTGCTATGAAAATGGACACATCCATAATACTGACGACAGAAATTATCTGAGTTATTAGGTCAGTCTAACTCAGAAAACTGTTGGTTACTAGGTAACCTTGATAGGACTCAGCGAGTTGATAGATTTGAGTTAATATATACAGTGAGAGAGAATGAAGAAAGGAACTGCAGATTTAATGATGTGATGAAATCCAGGGCGGTATACCAAATACTGTAAGAGTGATTTCCATTTAATATTCTTCCCACACACACGCCACTGGTCTAAATATAGCATGATATCATATTATTATCCCGTCCGGTTTGAATTGTGTTACCTGATTATACGACCTGTTGTTTATTGTTGTGACTTGTGAAATCGTGGTATGCCTTGCGGTCATTATCATTTATCAACCTTCATTTTATCGGCAGTGACCTATTATTTTGCCTAATTTATACTGACATTGGCGGTGAATTGTTAATATTGATAATTAGAGCACAGGTCTTCAACTCGATTACACTTACAGTAATAATGGAGCTGAATTATATCATTATTTTGTTAAATTTACAACTTCATTCGGCCGACCTTCTACCCGCTCAGCAAATGGTTGATTATAATTCCCTGAGCAATGTAGTTATTTTAGTTCCGTATGTCAGCTGGACTGATGTTTTCCGGAGAAGTAAACGCTGGCTAATTGGGTTCCATTTTATTCACTTAGCATATAGTTAAATTATTGCTCGCTTATGATAATCAGATTACATATACAATTAGTTTTCAATCCAACTGCTTTAAAATATAAATACCATTTGTACGAGGTGTCCAAATTTTGCATGCTCACAATTTAAAAACTTTCATTATTTTTTCAACACCTTATTTTTAATGACAGCGCCAAAACTCTTACTCTTACTCTTATTCTTCGGTTTTATTATTAGTCATATATTTTAAGTTCGAACAATGCCTGTTTCTGCGCCGGAAAAGATAATTACCTAGCATTCAAGCCGGCCTGGAAGTAGCTATTTTCTTTATTTTAGCTAATTGTTTTTCTGAATGTGCAAGTGTTAAGTACATTTTTCCATCACTATTGTGAATGTTCCTCGTGATTTTTATTAACGATTCATGTTCCTATCTTCAATTTTAATTCAGATCACCATAATAATTTATTTATGACGCTGTAAATATCATCTTATGTCGATAGTTTAATTTGAGTTAATCGCATTATTTTACTTCTTCGAACTGTGACAAACAAGGATTGAACCTCAACCAATTTTCGACAATAATAAACTAGTGATTTAAAAAAAATTGTCCTCTGAATGAATATTTCCCATTTCATGTTTCAAATTCCCAGGAATTCAAAAAATCAACCACAAACCAATTTAAGTTAAGGACATACCAGATGCTGCCCTGGATAAATGTAGATGTTAGTCTGACTGGCTAGTGAAACAAATTAGTTAATTGTACTTGTAGAAAAGTGCTGGAATATAAAATATAATCTCCCTTCCAATGCCTCGCATTCTTTCGGGACTTTCGCACCGTGCGTCACTCTTATAGTCTAAACACAAATTAGCTTGTACAATTTAGTTGTAAACATTCCAATTTTCACCGAAAGTATTTATAAAATTAGAAGATATTAGCAGTTTAGGCCGGGTTTCACTGCACAAGAAGAATTGAAAGCTGACGGACAGCGCGACTGTAGCGTGTTGACAGCTATACAATTTTGGTGAACAAATTTCGACCAAGTCGCACATTTTAGCTGCCGTTGTTTACTGGGCGGCGCTCAGCCTGTCATTACATTCCGCCGAATCTTTATTTTATGAACATAATAGCCTGGCCGGGTCCCCAGGTAACCGTTACTAAGCCTTGCTCGACAAATCGGGTGTCGTTGTCAAATGTACAATTTTGCTGCTGTGCGCGTTTCATCGCGTTTCTTATTTGCCTCAAAATAAGTACTCGAAGTTGAACAATCGACAGTTAATTCCGATGCTTTTCAGTTTCTTGATCAATTGTTGTACACTATTTGTTAATCCCCCATAACATAATGACACCAAAAACTGATGGTGCAGATTACACAGCTGAAATTTAATTAAATGAATGTTTAAAACCTACTGTATATAACTCAATTTGTCTGCATGTAATATTGGTGAGGTGAGGTTGGACCCTTAAACATTTAAATCGTTGGACCACATCTGCTTACTGCTGGTTAGTGGTTACATTTTACTTTTTACATCTTCAGCTTCCGTTATAATAAACCGTGTCATCTACCTCTGATCAAATTTCAGGGGAATTAATAATAATGCTAAAATCAGGAAAGCATGCCTGTTCCTTGTTACATGTTAACTTGTATTCATTAATTGTTCATTTTTATCCAACGAACGGACGTGACCAGGCCGGACCGCACGATCAAACCACTCATCACACCCTTGCTCCAGATGTTGACATTTTGTATGATCGTGAACGTTATTTTATCGAGGTGTGCTGCCTATTTTTGTTTTGCATCGCAAAATTTCATTTTAGTTATACCTCCGTGACGAAATTAAAAAACAAACGTTACACTTCATACATACACTCATGTATATGATAGATCCCATTTCAACATAGTAAAGCATGACAAATTAAATCTACATAGTTTTCATCTACAAAAATATTCAAAAATGATGAACTGATACCTATACTATGCATCATGATTAATCGCAATGCATTTAAGTTATCAAAACGTCATTGTAGTAAATCTCTTTTAGATTTATTCTTTCTTCAGTTGGAGTGTTCTAAAGTTTTATATGTACAACAACCAGGTTTTTCTCAGATGTTCTTTAAAAGTCGAAGTAGTAGGTAGCGTTAGGTATTGCACTTTTAACCTGTCAATTTGAGTTTTTTATGCTATTTTCGGCGCATATTTGCTTTACATTTAAACACAATATTTCACATTAGAAATGTATTGCTTTGTCGCAAGTTCTTCATCCAACAATACCAGCTGTTAAAAGAAGCTATTACTTATAAAACATAAAAATGTTATATTATATCTAAGTAAAGCTTCTAATATTACTTAAAACTAAGAGTGAGAAATTCAGTTATTGAGTTATTTATTCAGTTATTGAGTATCAACAGCACCTACTCAGCCTGATTAGTCAATAGTTTAGCGATCAATGACGGGTAAAATTTAAAGAGGGATCAGTGGATCACGAGTATTTCCAACCACGTACTATGATGGCAAAGTAGGTACTAGATATCTCAACCGTCTGTTCCGAGCATGCAGAATCTTTAAATATAATAGGAATAATAATCACATAAAAGGACATGATCATTTGAAGTTAGGATATTAGTAAAAATGTGTAACCCTATTAAATGTCACGATGTATTTAACTTTGTCACACTATGAAACTATATAAACCCTTGCTGATCAATAACTCGCCAGGGGAGCATTTCAACCCTATGTTATATTATGTCATGTGGGGTGATTCAGAATAACAATTCAGAATAACCATTCAAAATACATCGATTCATGTTGGTTTCGACTGTCGGTGGCCCTTTTACAAAAATAGCGATGTTTGAGTGTAGAGTGATTTAGCTACATACATTATACATACACGCTCGGTTAATTATGTCACACATTTAAAAAATGTATGAAGAATGTAAATGTTTAGGACATCCTGACAAGGAATGCCGAGTAGTCTAGCATTATTTTATAACCTGGATGTGTTGTCAGCATATTATCTCATAATTGTTGTAAGCAAATAAAAACACATATTTTTGTATGATATATCTCAGCATGTGCTATTATTGAGCAAATATTAGTATACCTACTTTTAATTTCCACCACAATACTTTCTTAGCAGACCTTAAGAGAATAACAAGGTTTGGTCTAACTCTAAGTCGTGTTTCCATTATTTCACTATGGAACTTACGCTGTCTTCAAAGATCAGAAAAAAGCACCAAATTCAGAATACCACTCTCCTCATCAAGTTATTCAGTTATACACATAATATGTAACTGTATTTGTAAGCTTCTTCGTTAACAAAAGTTTTTTATTCAGAGAAAATATTGCATTAAATTCAGAATTTATAGGGTCCAAGGTCGCAGTACTCAAACTGCTTGACTCCCTCATCCTGCCAGTTGTGTCCTATGGAATAGAAGTCTGGATCAGCAGTAGCTCAGGAATAAAGGCGTTTGCCAGTACAACCGACAATCCGATGCAATCCCTACTGGCAGGCATCGCAGCTGACCCATTCGAAAGAATGCATCTCACCATCCTTAAATGGACTCTTGGAGTTGGCAAATCTACATCCAACGCAGCTGTTTGGGGCGACTGCGGAAGAACCCCTATTGTAGTTCAATATGTCAAACAAGTCACTGATTTCCATAATCGACTTGCAAGACTTAACCTAGAAGACTCGCCAGCGCTGGCCAGGCACGCATTTGTTGAGCAGAAGAAACTTGACCTAGGATGGTTCAGAGCACTAGAATCAATGCTAATGATACTCGACGAGAACAAACTAGAAAATCAACTTTACAACCCATTGCTATGTCAAGAAAGGGCACACAATCGATTTAATAAAATATGGGAAACAGAAAGACAAAGCAATAAGAAGCTTACTTTCTACAACAAAGTTAAAGAGGCTTTCAAAGCGGAGCCGTACCTCACTCTACCGTCGAGAACTGGAAGCAACTTCGTGGCTAGGATCCGAATGAGTGGGCATAAGCTTAACATAGAAACAGGAAGATATGGGAGGCGATCTGGTAGTCGTCATTATAGAATCTGTGAATTCTGCAGCGAGAAGCCCGTAATGGAGCTCCTCCTTAACCTTCCAGGTGTCGACCCGATCATGGAAGATGAAGAACACTTCCTTAGAACATGTCCCAGGTACCATTCCAGTAGGACTAACATGAAGGAGCCCACAAAGTCCTTGCTATTTCATGACATGAAGAGCCTCTTTCTCCCGGAACACATAGTGGAATTCACCAAGTTCGTCGCTCAGCTATGCAGAACACGATTCCCTGTGAAGAAGAAACACAAACACTAGTGCCACAGTACGAGACATCACCCTTCCGCCGCATCACCTTCATCTGCACTCTACATTTGCACTCCACTCCAACACAATCACATCGTCGACTACACAATCACACATCAAGCATCTTTATTTTTCACATTTCACTTTGTTGTTGGTTTCCCGCTAGGGTTTGCGTGCTTTTCTCGCTCTTTTTGGTAGCTCCTATTTTGATCGATTTGCACTCGCCTCTGGCTTGTAGAGTGACACCACGACATTTTGGTAATGGTTTTCTCTCCCATTTGGATTACGGATTTTGGATTTATTTTAGCAACGCCGATCTAACGTTATTATACTGTAATATATAGATCAATCTTTGTAAACCTTGTAAACCTTGTAAACCTTGTAAACCTAGGGTCGCAGAGGCCTTTTGGCGAGGTATGTTAAATGTTAATGTATTGTTTTATTGTCTAAATTTGTCTTGCTGGAATGTTTCAAAGCCGATACACCTACTCTAATTCGACACTTAGCCCCTAGTTCGACTCGTACTCTAGTTTGACAAACCCTAATATTCGACTCTGTCGAACTAGACTTTAAAAGTACGCTACCTGGACTATAGTTCGACACGTACCAAAGTTCGACAGGGTGATTTCTGGCGAACTTTATTATTTGTCGAACTATAGAGTATGTGAATCGCAAAGCCGTCAAAACCTCAATCCTCTTACTGAAGTTGCTAATTCTACCCTTTACGGTGTACACACTAACTTAATCAGTTGATCGGCGCTAATTATTAATGCAATTCTTGTTAATAATGATATTTCGTCTTTTCTATTCGCTACTTTGCCTTATCAGTTGTAGATAACTAGTTAATGTGAACATTGCATTTAATTTGAGCCTACCCAAACGTATCTACAATGTTCAGAAGCTGAGATAACAATATATGAATAAAACACAAATGGGCGTGGCCCAAAGGGCGATTTTCCCAGTCTAAATTTCCGGGCATTTGCTTCTAAAAACCTTTGAGAGGCCCTAAAATAATTATCTGCCCTCTACTATAAAATGCAGGTCAATGTGCATTGTGCATAAATAACCAGACTATTAACAAAATTTTCCTACTAGACTGAATTTCGATGTTTTGTTTGATATATTACTCAGCTTATCAGGATTCAGGAGAATTGAGAAATGAAACATACGGTTATTTCTATATATTTATTAGGTTTGTTAATGTT